TCTGTACTGGGCACTGGCGAGGCCACACCTCAAATCTTGTGTCCAGTTTTGGGCCCCTCATGACAAGAAAGACATCGAGGTACTGGAGCAAGTCCAGAGCAGGGCAACGGAGCTGGGGAAGGCTCTGGAGAGTGAGTCCTATGTGGAGTGTCTGAGGGAGCTGGGGCTGCTTAGCCTGGAGAAGAGGGAGGTTCAGAGGGGTCTGGTCACTCTCTACAGCTGCTTGAAAGAAGGTTGTAGCTAGGTTGAGGTCAGTCTCTTCCCAAACAAGCTACATGACAAGAGGAAATAGCCTCAAGTTGCACCAGAGGAGGTTTCGATTTAATATTAGGAAATTTCTTTTGCTGAAAGGCTTGTCAGTCATTGGAACAGGCTGCCCATGGGAAGTAGTAGATTCACCATCCCTAGAGGTATTTAAAAGATGTGTATATGTGACACTTAGGGACATAGTTTAGCAATGGACTTGGCAGTGCTGGGTTAATGTTTGCACTCAATGACCTTAAAGGTCTTTTCCAACCTAAATGATTCTTTGATTCTAAGTTTCTTTAACATCCATTTTCTTTATAAAGACAGAACTTCCTGATCCTTGATCTTGCTTATAGAAACTCAGGCAACAAGGCCCAGTGCTTTTCAACAAAGATTCTGGAGCAAAACTACATACACATTTCAAATTGTAACTCTGTGCAGAGCAATGCACCTGGATAACATTTCTGGGAAGGAGAAATTGTTTATAGAAGCCAATAATACTCCTCTGGTCTAAGCAAATCTGAGGGATTTACACATTCAATGAAGGAAGAAAAAGAAACCAAACTCTGCCATCCCATCCCCATAAGGGTGACCTTTTCACCAGATTAAAATATTTTGGCATACACTGCAATGCATGCAAGTACTTGACCACTTACTTTATCTAGTAAGAAAATCCATCACAAAATGTTATTACATTCTCAAACACCATGCCATCAATGCCACCATCGTAAGACAATATGAGCTTCCATCTGGCAGGTGCCATCTGGAGCCCTGGGAATCATATCCAATTCTCTCACCAAGTTAAAAAATGCTGCAGCACTCTACAAGGAAGAAGAGCACCATTTCTACTTGAATCAGACTGGAACAATTGCAGGCGTTTTTTTTTTTTTGGGACAAGTGTTTCGATTTTGCTTAGTATAACTTATTAGCTTTTCTAGCTTAAACCATCTATCATTTACTTGAAATCAGAGTCCAGAATGTCAGGAGTTCCTGACAGACATTTTGGGACATGGACGTTTTCTATTTAAACTTCAAAAGGATGTGGTATTACTCAAACTGGGATGGCTGGGATTGCACCAACAAGAGGCAGCAGGAATGAAGCACAAAGCCTCTGCAACTCTTTCCTGGTCCTGCTGAGATGAAGGTACTACCAAACACTTTTGGCTCCACTGCAGCATGCCCTCAGGTGAATAGGAAAACACTGTCAGGTGGAAACAGCTTGTCAAAGTACCCATCAGTCAGGTAAACCCTGCAAGAGCTAGTGTGGATATTCACTCTGCAAAACAAAGCACAAACAACTCCTTGAGCTGGTAGTGTCACAGTATCATAAACCTAGAGGGAAAAACAAGGTTCTGTTTGATCCTGTGGCATTTTGTTCCAGGAACCTCACAGCCCTACTTCCATGGTATTGCACTTCAGCTTCTAAGGTGCAGTAGGTTTGTGCAGCAACTTTTCACTTCAGAAACAAATCTGGGGGCACCTGGCTTGGCTACTAGCCCAAGTTTAGAAACCTCTGTCAGCAGAGTAGCCATAACATAGTCTTAACATAAGCAGCTAAATTCAGAAGCTGAATAAAAGGTGGCATTTTGAGAAGACATTAAACAGAGAGGGACACCAATGGCAAGGAGAATACTGAGAATATTGGAGAAAGGTCTTAGAATAGGAAAGGAGTACAATCTTTTAGGCTGCAAGAGCCCAATTCAGGTAAGCACGTAAGATAATTTGCAGTTAAAGGAAAAATGTAGTTATAGTTACATTTCAAGTTATGACAACATATGTTGAGTCCTAAATGTACTATAATCTATTGCTAAGAAACTGTCACAGTTTTAAGGAGAACTGCACCATAAATCTAGAAGAATTACCACAAAGCATGCAGAATCCATTTGTGCTGAACTGATAAAAATCACTTGCAATGCTAATAGTTTTTTCGCAGGTACCATATTTGTTTTATTCAATTTCATATCAATTACTCTGATTAATTTGAAAGTAATACAATACTAATAAACAAAGTATGAGTTTTATTCTTTCCTAGCGAAGAAGTAGGAACAAGGCTATAAGAGGATGATATTGTAGCTGATCATGATCTCAATTTTACATAATCTAACACTACCTGGTTATGTTTAACCTGAGTATTTTCTTCAGCCAGCGTGAGAAGCATTGGAGCAAGCACAACTGTGATTTTTGTGGTTGTGTGGGTTTTTTTTTCAGGACAGCACCATTAACACAGAGTAATCATAAAATTACAGCCTGAAACCCATTTGGTTTGGTATAAGAAAGGAGACAATGATGAGAAACCTCTGCACAACTCAACTAACTACAGAAGATATCTCATTTATTTCATCAGTTAATTTTAAATTAATAACATTTGTTAACTTTTTGCCTATGTATGCAGCACATTCAGCATACTTTACATAACTTGTAACTTTAAAGTGTTGCATTGCATTACTAGCAAAACTCAGTTTGACACAAAGTGAGGAGAGAAAAAAGGAAACAAATACCAGTCAGCATATTTACCATCATAACATAAAAAAATCAGCAATCTAAAGAACTGTCTAACAAGCTGCAAAGTTGTTTAAAAGTGAATTCAGTGTATTTTTATTAAGTCAGAAGGAAGAACCAAATATAAGGTAAAAAGCTATATGTAGTTACAAATCTGTATTTTAAGGGTTACAAACTGAGGAGAACCAACCTTTAACAAAAATCTTTGTCTACCACTAACAATAACCAATAATTAAAAACAACCGTTTAACCTGTATTGCTTCAAATCAGCAATTTCACACAGACTTGATATCCACACTTGAAATGTGTTACAGAAACTGCAAAGTTTCAGGCAGTAAAATGCAACTTGTACAGTAACAGTTTTAAGACTCTTTACAAAGTACTCCATACTGAAGAAACTGGCAGGAGAATACAATCTGCTTTGAAATTCCTCTTTAGCCCATGCGTTTATCAAGCTACTGGATAAAAAAGCAAGGATTTCAGAATCCTATATACTAGATGTATAAATATTCCTATTACGGGCCTCTCAAAAATTAAGCCATGAACTCTGTAGGAGTCTTAAACATGATAAAATCAGGGTGATTTGTCTAAGGAATAACCAAGAGAGGTTAGTTAAGTGCTCAAATTATCATTATCTGGTGCAAGGGAGCTCCATGCTAACAGGGATATCAGATTTTTCCTAGAGCCACAAACTGACTGAATTCTGCCCAAAACCAGTAATAAAAGATCTTTAGGAAAAAGTTCATATAGCAAGTTTAGTCATTGCTGTTTAACTAAAAGTAGGTGTTCTATAGTGGCAGGCTTTGTTTTGCAATATAAATGGCTTTTGAAACTATTGAAAGGACTAATAATTATAGTAATGATTTGTGAAACAGTATCAAAAGAACATCAAGCACAGACTGGATTCCTTCCTTCACTTGTCAGGCTATGCACACTATAGGAGGGTTTCCAGGAATATCCACTTTTTTTTAATCTTCTGAAAAAACATACCCAGGCAATCCCAACTGTCTCACCTTTGAGAAGGGCCACAAAGATGATCAGAGGGCTGTAGCACCTCTAGCACCTCTCCTGTGAAGACAGGCTGAGAAAGTTGGGATTGTTAAGCCTGAAGAAGGCTCCAAGGAGACTTACTAGAACCTTCCAGGACCTAAAGGAGGCTTACGAGAAGGCTGGAGAGGAATTACAAAAGCATGTAGTGATAGGATGAGGGGAAATGGCTCCCAGCCAAGAGTAGGGTTAGGTTAGATATTATGGGAAGAAATTTTTTACTCTGAGGGTGGTGAGGCACTGGAACAGGTTGCCCAGAGAAGTTGTTGACAACCCATCTCTGGAAATGTTCAAGGCCAGGCTGGATGGGGCTCTGAGGAACCTGGTCTAGTGAAAAGTGTCCCTGCCTGAGGCAGGCAGGTTGGAACTAGATGATCTTCACAGTCCCTTTCAACCCAAAACCATTCTATGAGTCTATGGACACTAACAGTGTACTACAGGATTATATTTTTTAGTCAAAACTCTAAATTAAGGATAATTCTGAAATAATCTTGGCCACTGATGTATAAGCACAGCTTAAGGCGAACTATAGTATGGTAGTCAAAACACAAAGATGATGTTTAGATAAAAGCAAGTGAAAAGATGAATGGCAACTTCTGCCCTTCTGAAGGTATTATCCAAGCAGCTGATTATAGGACTAATTTCAAAATTCAATCTGAAATAGAAAAAAGTCTTTTGCTCCAAGTATATGATTTAAGTAGCTTCATTTAAATATTCCACTTTAAAAGCTGAGCTATGTAAGTATTCTCACATAGGTGATGGCCTGTAGAATAATTCCATCTGAACCAGCCCTAGAGTACATTATAGCCTCCTATTAAGAACTGAAATTAAAACAAGGGCTAATACTGTCAATACACGTCAAATATTTCCCAGTGTGCCTGCAGAGGCTACTTGGCCTTGTGACCAACTGTTGTAGCTAAGTTGTGTGGTTGCAATCTGTGATTTAAAGAGTACTCAAAGCACATTAATTTTACAGGCCCTTCCTGACCCAGAAAAACCCGTGTCTCAGGCAGTATTCATGAAAACCTCCAACTAATAATCAAAGCCTGGTACTTGTCCAGTATTCTGGTAAGAGTAGCAGTGGGGTAATATTAATAATCAACCTACCCCCCGAGAGAACAACTTACAGTTAAATATATTACAAACTGAGTTTAACATATCAAAAGTTGAGAAATACCCCGCTTCAAAAGAGTCACAGCCTATCAGTATAAAGGAAGAATATAAAACTATTTTATTGACCACTGCTCACCAGTATTTACAATAAAGTAAACAATATACAGTCTGATAACATTCAAATTACTACAAAGTTAGTTTTCACCTGGTCTTCTTAAGACCGAGTGATCCCAAATACTAGAAAGAATGACCTTACAGGTTTAAAGGGCTAGGTTTGGGTAAAGAAGATACATGCACATCAATAGTATAGAAGACTACAAAACATCTGTGAGTTTGTTTAGACATTCATTATGATCCTGTAATAACTAAGGAAGTTCATCAATGTTTTATAAAAGCTTTTACCTAATATGGAGGAAGTAGTAGTATCAAATGCTCTCTTGTGGTAAATGAAACAAGTTGCAGAAAGCTTTTATTTACTTGCTGTTGATGCAAAACATACTACTTCAAAAAAATATCAAATTTGAAACTTGTTAGAATGTATGCTTCTCACATTGCTAATAAATCAAATTTCGGGTTTTAATATTCTTATATATAAAAAAAGCAATGCAAACAATTATTGTGCTTCATCTTCTGGGCATGAATGCCAAGTTAGCCGTTCTTCATAAAAAGCGATTACAATCTGAGGACACTTCACATTAGCTTCTTTGGCCAGCACCAGATCTGCCTCATCAGAGTCTTTCCTGATGTAGAAGAGAGCAGGATTTGAGAAAATTAATAATCAGTATTTCAAAACATTTAGCAGCTCTTCATAATTTCTAAGTTCTGAAAACAACATCAGCTAGAAACCAGCAGCTTCCAGTATTCCTTTCACTAAAGCTACCAAGACTTTCCATGTTAATGGTAATGACGAGGTGTCATAGCTCCATTGTTCTTCCCTTCCCATGTATTTTCTGTTTGAAAGGAAAATGCTATTCAAAGGGAATCAGTCATAAGGTTACATACTGGAGTATATAATGAAAGAAGTAAAATTCAGTTACTTTTGTCTTTTAAAGACTAATCAAAGCTTCAAAGTAAGACTTCAAAATCAATAGGACCAACCAATCTTAAGAGTTGGTACCTACATGCAAATTACATTTGCTGTTTATGCAAATAACTTCCTGTATTTCATACTGTTATTCTTGATGCTGTCTTGGGCTAACAAACAAAGCTTGCCAGTCTGACATGACTTCATTTTGAAGTGTATGCTGCCTTTAAAAGTCAGCTTTGTGCATATAAACTCATCTATGTTTGTTACCTAAGACCAATTATGAAAAACTAATCAACAGCAACTGAATTAAACAAAAAAAAAATGTCCTCTGTGTTTGATACTGCCAATTATCACTGCAGAAATTCAAACACTTGTGATCTTTGTTTTTCAACTTTTCTAAGTTTCACATAGAATTTATAGAAAATTTGAGAACACAGAAGGCAGACCATCTCCCACAGCACTAATCTTCAGCAGTCTAGGTAAATCCCAAGACAAATCATGTCTCAGGAGATCACTCAGTTTAACTCCATTCAGAAAATTCTGCCCTTCTCAAAGGCTGTGGAAAGCCATCCTTCTTATCCCATCACCTTAAGAAATCTGACTCTCAGCAAATGTCAATTCAATCTCTTGATTTCTCAACACTGGGAAAAAGCATTAATTTTACCCCATTTGTTCACAAAGCAAGAAATCCTTCTCCCAACACTGTAGCTAATGAAACTGGTCCCCATCTAGTCTCCCAACAACACAAACTCCCCACATCACTCTTGCCTCTTACTAGCCCATAATGTCAAGCCTCAACGTGTTGTTTATTCTTTATCCCCACCACTGCTTTCTCCCCTAGTTGCTTCCAATTTCACTTTGATGCATACAGAACAGCTGGCACTATGCTTGGTTAAACAGCTGGCTATCCAGCAGCTGGCTTCTGCTTATTGAAACATGTAAAGCTGGATTTCTGCCTGCCATTCCCTCTGCAAGAGCATTATCAAGATCCATTTTTTTCCATACAAATGCCAATTTCTTCCTATTTTATCAGAAATTACCTTTTAAAGTAAAACTGAACCAACAGAAATGAAACATATTTTGGGTTTTGAAGGAAGAGGGACTAAGTCCTAACTGAATATAGAAAGCTTGTTTTTCTAAGAATACAAGGTTAATAAGGAGACCACCAGCTTCTGTGTCTTATTCCTGAGAGGAAGTTGTCTCTAGGCTAAGTGCAGCTGCCTGCCCTCCCTTTATGGACAAGAACTGTGGATGTAAGACTTACCATTTCATGAGGAACATAAGCTCTCCACTGCTATCCGTAGCCCCAATTATCCGCTCAGGATCAAGACCCCTTGCAAACCCTCTTGGCTTATCAACCTAGTAATTTAGAAGATGGTTATCTAGTTTAAGACAAAATTCTATTTTGGTACTAGATACAGGAATTTTTGTACATACATGCATGTGTGTATTCGTGTATCAGAACGAAAAGTACAGCCTTTAAACCCAATCAAATCTATAATTACATAGTATTTTTTCATGAACAATCTTCAGGCCAAGTAATTTAGAGGTAGGATAATAATAAAGGATTTTATATCCATGTTTCCAGCATTTATTTCTGAAAATATAATAGATGAAACAAATGGTCTAAAATAATTTCAGCAGATAAACAAACAAGCATGGTCAGTAAAAAGAACAAAAACAGCAAAGTAAAAATGCATGCCTGGAAGTGGAAAAAACATATCCTTTTCAGCAAAACAACAGGCATGGGTTGCCTATACCAACAGTGAAACTGCACCCTTGGGGAACACCTCAACTCTTCTTGGCTCACTGACATCACACTGGTGACAAAAAATATCACAACTATTTCCTGTATTAGCTCCTTTATAGGTTCATAATATCCTTTTAGAGACAGTGGCCACTATTGTACCAGATGAAGCCAAACAACTGACTTTATACAGAAAGCAAAATATTCTTTGTATAATTCAGGAACTATTCTTTCTGATACCTTCCAACCTTTTTGACAGTAACCACATGTCCAACTGCCTGCCTTCTCCAGTACATGAAAATGACTGGCAGTCTCAGGTTTCAAACCACTAGTCCAAAAGTTTACAGAAGAAAATGTGAACTGTTGAACACATTACTACGTGTGCATTATTCTGTACTTATCAGCATTAAATGTGTCAGTTTGCCTACTCATTTAAACTGAAGGAGAAATCCAGACCTCTCAGGAAAGGTAGGCTTTTTTCACTCACCCCTTCTACTCCTTCTCCACCATTATGTCTGCTCCTAGTCTAAGTAACTGATTGGTTTTCACATTTTGCCATCTTGCCAATCACCCATTCAAAACCATATACTAAATATGGCAGCAAACCAGAACTTCATCTTTGTTCCATTCATGGATCTTTTGTTCTAATAGAAACCTATTGCTTAATACCATTAATTAATAACTCTTAACCAGTGTTACTTTCAATTATTCAGTAAGTGGGATGATGGGACAATGTAAGAACTTCTAATCATCATGTCAGTCAATCATTCTTTACTAACCATTTGGACAGTCTCATTACCCGCAATGAATATATACCCTTTTCAAACCACAGATCCAGATGCTAAGAAATTTTTACAGTTTTACATCAGTGTTCAGTCTCATTCTCAAAGTCACAATATGATTTTTGGGGGATGGAGAGGTAGGAGAGAGATGGAGGAAACAAAAACTTAACACATGAACATATACTTACAGAATCACGCTTTTTCTTTGATTTACTATCATCAGATTCGCTATCTGACAAAGATTTTCTTTTGGCACCATCTGTTTTTTCTTTACCAGCTTTCTGAGAGTTCAGAAAAGCTTCAATTAGCTCTGGACAATCTAAGTTCTCTTCAGGTTCCCATGTGTTGTCAGCACTGAAACATACACACATTTATGTAGAACTAAGTAAAAAAGAAAAATGTAAAACTAGCCCCATGGCTCCCCTTAAAATAAGCAACTTAATTTTTGTCTCACTATATAAGGTAGGTCTGTTAAACCCTAAGGACGTTTATCTTGCCACCTTTAGTAGCATTCATGTACTGCATTTGATGACTGAAAGGATGCTTCATTAGTATTGAAAACAACATTTTTAATCTGAAGGTAACAGAAAAAGCAGCTCTATTAACACCTGTGTTCTCAGTGGGGTATGAGAGTTGAAACAAGCAATCCACACCCTACCAAAACTTAACTGTCCATTTAAACTGACTCACTTCCCTGGTTCCTCTAAAGACTGTCCATGAAAACTAACAGTATGATATGAGTTACAGACAACAGAGTGTACACAGCAGTCATTAGAAACAGCCTAAGTATAAATCCATACATATAAGCTTTCAGACATGAGGAACACACTAAAGTTGTCTCTGAGCACTGAACACAACTATACCTAGAACTATCTGCTTCCTTCAGTTGACTGAATGCAGGACGGAACAAAGGTGGGCAGAGCTGGGCACTGACTATGTTTCAGTGAGTATGCATTTTGCTAACTAAATTTTTAAGAATATTCCTCACAACCACTCCGTATCTCACATTCAAGTACTGGCACAGCACTACTGCACCAGCAGGATACCTACAAATTATTTTCCATTACAATAATATATTATTACAAGTTCAAATCAGACCCTCAAATACTAAACACATTGTGCTTCACATTTATGCACACATGACTACACACATTCCAGGTTGCCAGACTGCACAATGTTGCAATGCACTCACTTTGGGAGGTATGCAACAATAACATCATAGCATACATAACCATTAATGCACAAATTCTTCTTTCAGCTGTCAAAGCAAGCTGCCACAGTGTCACTGGAAGGAGGCACAACTACATTCCTTCTTAAACAATCAGCTTCTTAAGTCTACTGCAAAGTTTTAACATACATATGTAAGTCCTGGGAAAGACACTCAAAAATTCCTTTGATGTATGCCTAATGAAGGCCACCATTCCACAGGCATATTCAGTTAATTTGAGAACAGTTCAGGAAAATTAATAATAAGCAAACTATCTGCTTCAAAGGTGCCTGCTGTTTACATTCCTGCGTGATTTGTTACTCAGAAGTACCATTCATTCTGCTACATATATGATAACTATCAGTCTATCTTACCTTGATAGCTATGGACACAAGCTCTATGAGAGTGGTAAAAGAACAATCACTAAGAACGTCGTAAAAGTTCTCAAATGTTTTATATAGAGTAAACAATGAACTACATTATCTTCTATTTTATCTTCATACTCGACTATCCCACTTGACTATGCATTTAAGAAAAAAAAAAAAAGTCCTTCCCTCAAGCTTCTTTAAAGTGGATGCCCATTGTCCAATCTCTTGTCACAGTTTCAAATCAATGGTGTTTATCATTCTATCAGAAAAAAAAAAAAAAAAAAAAAAGGAATGCCTTACTCTGTAAATCCTTTCCACTTCAAGTAGTATTCCACCTTTCCATTTACAACACGTCTGTCCAGGACTTTCTCCACAACAAATTCTTCAGGCTCTGCCTCTTCAACTTTTTTACCTTTGCCATTCTGTTTCTTTCCCATTTTGTGCTACAAAAGAAATTCAGAATAACATTATTCTTTTTTATTCTTTTGCTTTACACAGTTACTTCACCGGCTTATTAACATTAAAGCCAGAAGCTCAGACTCCTTTCATGTTAGTGCATGTGGTCAGGTAACCTGAGCAAGACATGGTAATCTTTTGGGTTTTTATCAGTTGCTTAATGAGATACCCAACACCAGTTTTTAAAAAGGTGAAATTTTTTTGTTCACATACTCAGTGACTATACTCCCCTTAAAAATTTAATTCTCAGTGCTACATGCTCAAAACATCAGGAAGCTTCTAAAAGTTAACTCTATGCCTGTGAAAAGGCAGAGGGCAAGGCAGAAGTAAAGAGAAGTAATAAGGAAACTGTGAAAATGCATAAAATAGAAAAGGGATGGTACTGAAAAAAGGTGGCTTCTACCTTTTCCAAAAAAAACCAAGGAGAAACTGATGGCAGCAAAGTTTATGACGTTTTGCTACAATAAGCAAAATACTCAATAATAACCCGCAACTATTGAAGAGGACACATGCTAGGAGCATTCCATTACTGCAGTCCCTTCTCATTCTTAGCCATGCACCCATGTAACTTACAAAGAGATGTCACAAAGGTGCATACATTTAAGACTGCTACACTTAAGTACAGCACTTAACACATAAATGGAATTTTGCTAACTTACAAAACTTTGGAAGTGTTTTAAAGTTTACATTTGATAGTTCAGGTAATATTCTTTAAGTTCTTAATACAAATATTACATCCACATCATCCTCAAGGCATTCCCAGTTTAATAAGGCACAATTGAATAGCAGTAAAAGGACACATTTCAGAATTTCCTTGTTTGTAATCTTATAAAAGTTGGAACAAGCCTATCATGCTGTATCACAGTTCTGGAGGACTAGCAGACCAAAAGCAGTTTGCTTGCCATTTTGGACTGCACCTCATAAAGAAATTGTCAAGTGGCAGCCATAAACTAAGTATTAAGCTCCTAAGAGTTATGCAGCACCCTAAATCAAAGTGGACAGAAGTAATTCCTCACTAAAGCACTTTCTCTACAACAGAACACAGACAAGCAAATACCACAAAGCACCTCTATTTGCTTGAGAGCCATTCTCTAGTCCTCTCTAATATGGGTTAGTTTGACAACACTGCAATTTTCAAATTTTCAAACTTTCAGACTTAGTAGAATTTTGTCTTGATGTGGTGAAAGGTAAAAAAAAAAAGTATGTTAGAACAAAAACTGTATTCTTTTAGTGAAGACTGGAAGATGCTTCTCTTGCCAAAGCCCTGTCTTTGTACCCCTTATTTTTAATAATTAATTTTTCCCTCCCTCCTCAAAATACTTCACTCTTTATGGTTAGCAACCCATAAATTGAAGGTTCAAAGTACAAAGAGGAGAAAAAGTCTCTAGTTTCTCATTTAAACAGCAAGTTTCTACATATATCTCACACGGCCATCATTTTGATTTGAGAGCATAGAAGAGAGAACAGAGCATGTATTTCCAATTAGATTTTAGGTGCCTGCATATCCCAGGTGTATTTTGACCACAGCATTCATGTCTGAAAAGTGTTAACTTAAGCATATTGGCTTTTTTTGCCTCCACAGGAAAAAGAATGCAAGACTGATATTGAAGGGAAATACAACATGAAGATGTCCAAGGCTTCTATGAGGGCAGCTTCTTTCAAAAAATGGAAGTGTGAAATAGAAAGGGGTAGATATGAGGGAAATAAACAAATAATAAAAGTAGCAGAGGGGAAAACGACAACACAGAAAAAGACAGACTCACTATACCATAGTAATAACATTATAATTACTGGTGATGAGGCAAGCAGGCTACAAGTGGGGAACATCTCCATCTGTATTCTCCGTTGGACTAAAATTCTTTGATTCAATGGAAGACTGTTTTCTGGTACTCTTTTCGGCTTCACTAATTCTTGTCACTTAAAGATCAATGTTTTGGATTTCTGTATCAAAGCAACAATTTGGTTTTTTACTTTCTAAAACTTAAGTATCTTAAGTATCTTCCACAGAGGAAAATGAATGTCATGGGGGTCTGTATTTTTTCTTGAAGTGCAGTAAGAAATAGCAAAATAAAGAGTATGCTGCTTCTGTTTTAAATATTAGAGATTTATTAGGTCTTGTGCATCAGCACTGCTCTTCAAACTCTTGAGCCTATTAAAATAACACTTGATTGCAGAGCCTGCAGAAATACTGAACATGTTAAAAACCTGTACATTCTGGGATTATACAAGCCCATGCAAATCTCAGCCCACAAGTGAATTGTGACACCTGACTGAACTCAAAGAATACCAAATGCCCACTTGACCCCTGAAGCTCTCTTCTCTAGGGTTGCATGCTGTAAGCTGTAAACTGGACATTTGACCATTGAAGGCTAATGTATAGCTTGTTTCTCTTTCTGCATTCAGAAGTCATATGACACTACATATGACAGAGGCAGATCTAAGGATAATCACTCTTTCTTTGGGGGGTAAGCTTAAAACACTGATGTGACACTGTGGTGTAGAATTTTAACATTCAAGATATAAGAAAATTGGAATTACAGCTCTAGAGCTACCCTATCCCTTAACACATTTAGGTTTTGCATGCAAATATATAACGAAGCAGAATTAGTTATGGTTCCCATGGGAACCATAACTGATTTTCCTGACCTGTGCAGCAAAATTCTTGACATCAAAAGATTAAAAATACTGCATTTGTAAGATTTTTTTCCTCTCTCCAAAGTGCCCTTCCCCACCCTGGCTAACTTCTCCTTCAAATTCGGGATAAGTGGACAATCAACTACTAACAGAAAGTTCAGACATTCACCTTGGTGAAATATTTTAAACTAGTACAACACAGAGGAAGCACTCCGTTGCACTTCTAAGCCAGGAGTTAATAGAAGTTTTGAATATATTTTGAGCTGAGTAATCATTTCTGTAAATTTAAGAACAGGCCTTTTGAGTGCATTATAAACCAGCTGTTCTGCTATTGAAGTTCTGAATTGTGCACATGTATTTTTTCCTTACTTCCCCGTCTACACCTCAGATACATCTCACATTATACTTCTACAGGTCTGTCTTTTGTGAAACTATGTATCATTATTAGTAGAACTGTAGCCAGCAACCAACTGCCCTTAGGAGTCCATATTTTAATGTCAAGCAAAGCTTTAGAGGACTTGAGATCCATGAATGCATCATTAAAATGGTCCAGGAGGGGTTGACATCTGATAATCTCTGCTCCTATGAAATTCAAAGAAACTGTTATTTGTTAAAAAGCATTTCAAAAGGCATCTTAATTATGCCACATCATTTCTCAATAATGTTACTTTTCATCTGTAAAGACTGCCTTTTGTCAGGCAAATAGTTTTCTCCAAATACACTGGGAGAAATTAAATGAGTACATGATTTGGACTTTATTTTTTACATGTATGATGAATTACATGGTATGCTGAAAGGAGGCTAAAAAAATCCTCAGTATTTTCTATTGTAGAATAGATGAAATAGTGCAGAGTCCTTTCACACTTTTTTCCCAACAAGTTTCTCTTTAGAAATGGCAGATTTATTAAAACCAAAGACAATGTCCTTTCTAGTAGCCTTACTTTCTGGATCTGAAATTTTGGTCAGAATAATGCTGGGGAGGGGAGATGTGGATGTATCTTTTAAATGGAGATGCCAAGTTATAAGTTTGAAGAAAAATATGTTGATTAAATCCTTATATACTTTAGGTGTGCATGAACTTACCAATGTAGTTTTATTGGAGGCCATTTTTATTGCAGACTTGCAGAGCTTTTACTAGAAAAATGCATGACAATTAAAAGGAAGTTTGCATTACTCAAAGAAAGGCATCCCAAGACAAGCATGGTCCTTGTTCCAACCCCCATGTATTCATTGCATACAACATTTCTTACACGGATTAAATCCAGAACAAAAAGTAGGTTACTACTTTGTCCGGCATAACCCAGTAATGCACCATTAGGCTAGCCAGGATAAATGATACTGACAAGGTGGTATATAGGGTTGAAAAAATTTTTCCCAAGGCCTTCAAAAGCATAGACATGTTTCTAGGGAAAAGGGGGAGGACCATCAGGGATGCTTATTTCCTTAAACCAAATAGAACAAGAGCTCAGATTCTAGAAATTGAAGATATACCTAAGTTATATTAAATGCAAATATCCGATGGGGAACAGATATATTTGTGGTGCAATGAATCACCCATTATTCTTACATGGTAGCAAATTCTTACAAACAGCAAATATTTATCTTAATGCAACTATAACGTTGCCTTCTGATTCTCAAGTTGGCAAGAGTTAAGGTCCTAGAACAATATTAACTCAGCTAAGATGCACATATTACATATTTAACCTATGCAAATTACGTTGAATACAATCCATCCCCTTTTCCATGTCATTTCTCATACCGACCAGCTCCATAGGCATGTATTGTCACCGCCCCCGCAGCGAGCTACAGAAATGCTAGAATTCCCCATATGCCTGGGTAAAGCAGAGAAGTCCTTTAAGGCCAGAAAGCCTCCCGGACTCAGCGATCCCGCCCAATCCTCCCCTGACACGGGAGGTGGATTTTGGCAGTCCCATGGGCGGTGGGGTAGGCGAGGTGGGAGAAGGGCCGGGGCCAGGGCGCCAGTGCCGAAGGTCTTGCCTTGTGTCTCCCGGAGAGGTAGCAGAAAGGGGTAAAAAAAAAAATCCCCAAAACCCAACAACAACCCCCCCCACCACAGAAGAGAGGCAGCCCTGCGGAGGCCTGCTGGGGGCGGCTGCGCCTCGGGCCTGCGGCGGGCGCACATGAGGCCGGCGGGGCCGCCCCGGGCGAGGTAACGGGGACGCAGGCCCCGGGCCGCTTCCGCCGCCGCTGACAGGGCCCCTTCCACGCCGTCTTCCCCCCGCCCCGTCACGATTCCCTCGGGCCGGGCACACGCAGGGACGGCCGGCGGGCCGGCTTTGTCTGCCGCGCGGGTGCCTCTGCCCCCGCCCCCGGCGCTGCTCTCCTTCCCCGTGGCGACAGCGCCCGCGGGTCCGGGGGCCGGCCTCCCTCCCTTCCTTCCCGAGCGGGTGCCGAAGCCCCGATTCCCCGACAGCTCCGCTCCGCCCGCCACCCCCCACCGCCAAGGAAGCGGGGGTGGGGAAGAAGCGGCGGTGGGGGGAGGCGGGCGGGTTGCGCTCCGCATCTCCCCGCGGCGGCCCGCAGCAAGCCGCAGAGGAAAGGGGAGTCAGGGAAGGGGACTCGAGGGTGAGTGGGGTGAAAGGAGGCGGCTGCAGCGAGAGAAAAGAGGGAGAGAGAGAGAGAGAAGGATACAGACTTCAATGGTGCCCAGCCGCTTGGGTCTCCTGTCTCCTCCTGGCTCCCGCCCTGCGCGCACTGAGCGGCGGCGGCAGCAGCAACAGCGACATCCGCGGGGGGCTGAGGCGGGGGGTGGGGGCAGGGAGGGAGAGAGAGGGAGGGCGGGAGGCGGAGGGCGGGGAGCGGCGCGGCGGTGGCTGGCGGGGCTGGGCTGGGCTGGGCGAGCACTGCGCGCCGGCGGCTGTGACGGGGCAGAGCGCACGACGCCGCCGCCGCCTACGCGCGAGCCGCTACAACCTCCGACCGTCGTCGCCGCCGGCACAGGAGGGGGGCCAAGACGTCTCTCCAACGCGGGGCGAGCGCAGGACCGCGCCAGGCGTCCAAAAGAAGGAAGATGCCTCGCGGCGACCGGGAAAGCGACTGGGTAAGCCTGGGGGAGCGGACGGGGTTGGCAGACCCCGGGAGCCACGGCCGCCATCATGGCCGCCGCTGCGAATGCGCGCCGGGCCGATGCTGCCCGCCGCCGCGGAGCGAGGCCCTCGATCGGTGCGGCCGGGCGGGCCTCGGGCGCGCGGAGGGCGGGCGAGGAGCGCTGGGGTGGGTTTGAAGCTCATTTGGAAGGGTCCCCCTTGGAGCGCGGCCATTTCCCGCGTTGCGGCGGGGAGGCCTGGGCGTGAGCAAGGGGAGGGGGGAGGGAAGCGGGCTCGGAAAGCAGCGGGGCTCTGAGGCCCTAGAACTCATTCATAAGTGGGAAAAGAGGTTCGGGGAGTCTGCTGGGGAGGCCTCGCTGCGGGCGGGAGATCCGCGGGTGGATCCGCGGTGAAGCTGAAAGGGAGGGGGAGCAGAGGGGGCGGGAAGAAAGGAGCTGCTCCAGCGCCATTTCTTTGGCGCGCGGGGCGGCAGCACTCACCCTTTGTCGCGGTGCGTGTAGGGCTGCCGGAGAGGGAAAAAGGGAGGGGAAGAAGGAGGGGAGGAGAACAGAGCGGCGGAGCGGGCGGCACGCCCGATGCCGACGGTGCGGGGTAGAGCGGAGCGGGCTGCGGTGAAGTCCGCCTCCCTCCCTCCGCCGGGGCCCCGCGATGTGTCGCACTTGTGCCAAAATCTGTGTAGCTCTCACTTCCTCCTGCCTGGGCGGAGGGGGAAAGGGGCCACGGTGAGGTTTCGGGGGGCGATGCGCGGCCGCCCCCGACTAATATTAACGCCGAGGTTTGAGCCTTGGGGGCCTTTTGTCAATTTCCGGAAAAAAAACCAAACAAAAACAAGTGACACGGTGCCAGCAGCGTTTGAGGCCGCTTCGGCTGCGCTCGGGCACGTCTCGCGAACCTGTCGGTTGTCGGAAACTGCCGAGCTGGCTGAAGTAGTCGATGACTTGCTGCGTCTTTCTGTCCGGAAATTGCCGAGCTGGCGCCGAGCGCCATTTTCGCCTGCTGCGGCAGATTCCGGAAATTACCGAAGCGAGTCGAATGGGCTTCCATTCCTGGTTCGGCTTTTTCCGGCGGCTGTCGAAGCGGATAAGCTCGACGACGACAGCTCCTTCGGCTCATTTCGGAGACGGCCATTACTAACGGAGTCGATGACTTTTCATTATACGATAAAAACACGTAGGGGCGTTATTCAGAACTGCAGCCCCTTTGGAGATATTTAAGCTCCAGATCCTGGCTTTTTTTTTTTTTTTTCTGCCTTTTTTTTTTTTTTTTAATTAATTAAACCTCGGAAGCGAGCCCGAGTAGGAGGGCGCTAACACTACGCGGAGCTGAATTTCAAATTACGTAACAGCTCAGGCAGCCATTACCGACCGGTTGTACGGTACTCTCGAGCAGGAATACATAAACCATGAAGAATATGGTACGTGGAATGGGAGAGTTTAGAGCTTGCTTTTAAGGAGGGAGACGCGTTTGCTTGTGCAGACAGAGTGATTTTTTTCGGGGCTGAGCATTACAAGCAAGCTTGGTCGTCCGCGCAAGTCCTGGCGCTGCTGCTGGGTCGCAACGCGGGGTGGATGCTGGATGTCTTTGCGCAGAGGAAGGTTCTGGAAGCGGCGACTGGGGCTGGCGCGCAGACAGGCGAGGCGGCGGAAGCTGCGGTGACCGCGCATGGCGGACAGCGCGTTCTTGAGCCCGTGGCCATGGCTATTAGCTGCGCTGCTGCTGAGGTGTCGCAGGAGGAGGGGGAGTCGGAGCTCCGCGGGCTGGGGGCCGTCTTGGCCCCGCCAGGCGCGGAGCGGCCGAGGCCGCGCTGCGGGTAATGGCGGTGGCGAGGGGGAGGGGTAAAATGGCGGCCTGGCCGAGTCTCGTGGCTGCGAGGGGCAGTGGGGATCCCTCCGGCAGAGCGGGGTGCCAGCTGTAGTCGTCAGGTATTCACGGGGGCGAGAAGGAGCGCCGGAGAGGTCTTAGTACCGTGTGTGTAGGTGCACGCTAGAAACAATTTGCTGCGCTCTCCCTGGAAGCGGCGGCTGCTCCCGGGCGCCATTTTCCCCGCCCGGCTCGGGGCCGCGGTGTTCCCGCTGCCGCCACATGGCGGAGCCGGCGCGGCCGCTGCGTTCCGGCTGCCACAGGCGGCGGGCGAGCAGCCACTGAGGGATTGCCGAGCCCTGCAGTTCAGGGATCCCCCCTCCCTAGTCTCCCTTAAACGTTTTTGTTACCTGAATTCTTAATTCCGCAGTCAGCGTGGATTATGTGTGCCCACGTTACTGCTATATGAAACACGTCTCCTTGCTCTGGTGATTAATATTTCAGTAAAGGTTACGCATTTTTTAGTGCTTTCAAGTTGCTTTAAGCCTGTGAAGGAAAGGTTTAAAATACACACGGATGAAGATCCTACAGAGGTAAAAATTTGCTCTGGCGCTTGATTCCTGCCACGGGATATACTGTGGAATTCTCGAAAGAGGTGTTACCTCCAGCTTTTATACTGTGGCCTTTTCTAAGTATGAGGTGTCTGTGTCTTTACCAAAAGAGCATTTCCTCAGGATTCTAAGAGGTACTGGCATGATGATAGTTATTGTTGTACATTTTATACTTTCTGCACAAACTTTAGATGGGCAGAACTCTCTGGACTTTGGTAGGAGGTTAATGTTATTGCCATCCAGAGCTTCTCGAAACTGGCTCATTTAAGACAAATAGTTTCTCTGCATCTAGAGATTGTCTGCATGTTCGTGGAGCAGCCTGTGTATGCTGTTTTGGCACAATGGTTTTCATTAAGAACTAGTGATGAATGTTGTTATTGCTGTTTTCTGATGTGTGGTGCCTAGATGTTCTAGGTAGATCGTGACCCTAAATACATCTGTACAATGCATTAACTATTCTGTTCAGTGTCTGTTAGTTATATGTAGTATATTTTTATAATTGTTCTATTCTTTCCTTGAGTTCCATTTACAGGTTTATAGCTATTTTCAGGAGTAAACATAACACTGAAAATATCTTACCTGCCTACTAAACTTTCTTAATTCTCATATTATTTTATAATAATGCCCTTTATTAAATGTATGGTAATTGATTATACAGGAAAAAGGTTTCATGTAGATCTATGAAACTGTAAGCAAATGGTCCCTAATTCTCAAGCAGCAGAACTGAAGGAAGGATTTTTATTTTTGCAGTATTGATGCTTAAATTTTTTTCTACCTCCTACTCAAAATTAATAAATGGCATATTGATGTATATGATTTTTTTATAGTGGTCTGGCGTGCAGTGTTCTTTTGTTTGTTCCTTTTATGCAAAGAGGTGAAAATAAATTAGTTAAAACACGTGTCTGCTGCTTTTGAGCACGTGTCTTATTTTCACTGTCCTTTGTGTAAGGAGGAGACAGTACTAGCTTTCTTTTTATTCCTAGAAGAAAAAAAAACTAGGTCCAACAGCAGATTCCAAATATTTTTCAAGAGAAATTTGAACTCATCAATCTTAAATAGAGGATGTATTTGGAAGAAGGAGGGGAGAAAGTTGATTTCCTTGTCAGACTGCAGTATATGAGGCTGGCAATACGGAGGTGTATTTTGAAGAAAAAACCCTGGGTTGTCACTGCCTACAGTAATTGTGTTCTGTTATATGCATCTTGATCTAGGCCTGCCTTGGACAACTTCAGAAAATAAGTTGGTCTGCATGCAGCTTGGCTTAATACTTCTAAAAGCATATGTGTACTGAAGTATTTCGCCTGTTTTCTTAGGCTCAGTGTTTTTCTAGTTTCCTATTTAAATTTAGCTTAATACCCATTGCACAGTTAATCGTGTTGTGTTTGTCAATTACACCTCCTGCTGCGATATTTGAGTTGTATAAAAAATAACCACCATACTGAAGAAAACACACAACCAAACACCCAAGCAGATTTTCTTGATTTTTAAAGTTAGTTAACAGTAAAAAGCTGAAGTGATTTGAGTTCTGTTGTCCCTAGAAGAACAGTTCTCTTCAAAACAACATTCTAAAATAATGAATTTGTAGAAGAAAACTACTTCTTAGTGCATTTTTTAAGTGTTTGGCATGAATTTTCATACATATGAGCTGGTGATACTTTTGTATGTAGAACCTGGCAATTAAAAGGCCTGGTTTGTATAAAAAGTTACAGTAAAAGTGCTTTGAACTGGTAGAAGTCGGAAGGTTCTTCTTTCTGCTTTAGTTTACCAGTACATACAAAAAAGTGAATTCAATAGCTTATTACTGGTCCTGTTTGTTGTTGGGTTTGTTTGGGTTTTTTAATGATGTTCTTGTTAGTGCATAAAAGATCTTTGCTTAACAAGTGCAGTGATAGTTTCTTTGCAAGAAAATAAAGACTTACTGAAAGCATTAGTGGATATGAATATGTATTATTCACATTTCTACTTTGAAAGGAATTATTTTAATGGTGCTCCTGTTGAGGGTGTATAGGTTTGTTGGTAATTCCAGTGGTGTGGGATTCCAGGTTAATTTTACAGATGCTTGAGTTTCATTTGTTTTAGTAATTATGGAGAATGTATGAATTGTTAACCTGTTAGAGAACATACTTAGATGTATTTAATTGATTTTTACTTACAAAGCCTTGGATGAATAGTATGGCAGTATTAATGTAAAACAATTTTAACCATAATGGTTTTTATAATTGAATATTCCCCAGGATGGAACCAGACGGTATAAATTAATTCCTATTTTCTGTAATAAAAACAAATCCCAAAGTTCTCATTTTCTTTAAAAAGCATCTCATATGGGTCTTACAGAGGAGTATTCTGAAAGTCTTCAAGTGTGGTCCCTTGTTTTTGATATCTAGAGGGAGACACAGGAATAAAGACTAAAAAAAATTTGTTTTGTAAAAGTGGGCCTGTAGAATTGCAAAATTGCTTAATTTCTTTAATGGGAGTAGAACCTTTAGAAGAGCCAGGTCTCATTTTGAAAACAAATCTTACTGAAAGTCTTTGATACCTATGAAAATCTTGGTTAGTGTTTGATTTGCTAATGCAGAAGAGGTGTTTCAAATGATATTAATGTAATCTTCTTTTTTTCCCATGGCAGAGGGAAAAGGAGCAGTTCCGCAAACTGTTTATTGGTGGCTTAAGCTTTGAAACCACAGAAGAAAGCTTGAGGAGTTACTATGAGCAATGGGGAAAGCTTACAGACTGTGTGGTAAGTTTAGCTTACCAATACATAGCAGTGGCATGGAATGTGTAGGAATTTTAAATGTTTGTTTTCTGGATTGCTTAGAGAAGATGGAATATTAGCTTTTAATGGTACAGTTGGTTGCTTTACACACAGTTCAGTCCATTGTAGCAATGCGTAAATTTTACTCTTGCAAGTCTAATTGAGTTAGGGAACATTCACAATCTGTTTTCTGTAAAATTCTCCTAGATTATCTAACCACTGCTTCCAACAGTTCAACTTTGGTATCTGAAAGTTGTCTGAAGTGCATTAGAAAGTGCTTACAGAGAGCATTATTACATCTGTGTGGTTGGTAACATTTGGCAAAAAACTGGTGTCTTGGTAAGCAGTAAGCAGCCTTAGTAAAGCTGGAAAAGGATGTCTTTCTCTGTGATGTTTTCATAGAGTTGGAAGAAACCATTTACTATTTAACCATGCACTGACAAGTTCATCACTAAACCATGTCTGTAAGCACCTCTGTTTTTGTGTCTTCTGAATACTGACAGGGATGCACCCCACTGATCTAGCAGCATTTCTGAGTTAACTGAGTCTTGGAGGACAGCAGTGGTTTGAATTTCTTTGATCCCAAGCAGTGTCACTCATATTATATCAACAGAGTCTGCTACTTTGTGTTTTGAAATCAAAGCCAGGAAAAAGTAAATTAAGTTTACACACTTACTCTTAATACTGTTACCAAAAAGCTTAACATGAGACTGATACAAATAGTTTAAATGTCTTTATTGATTCTAGGTAATGAGGGATCCTGCAAGCAAGAGATCAAGGGGGTTTGGCTTTGTAACATTCTCTTCCATGGCTGAAGTTGATGCAGCTATGGCTGCAAGACCTCACACGATTGATGGAAGGGTGGTTGAGCCTAAGAGAGCTGTGGCTAGAGAGGTAAGTATGGCTTTGAAAGCAAATGCTTCTCATGCTTTGAAAAATGCCTGTTTTGGTGAGACAGGCTTTGTTCTTGTTTGAAATTGCCTGGGTTTAAATTACCTGGTTCAAAGCCCATAGTTGGGGTGTTATTTCCCACACTTTTAGTCTCTTACATAAACATCTACTATTACAGTGAATTATTATATTATTCTGGTTATGGAATCATATCTGCAAGGGACACATATGTGGTCTGAAACATGTTGTAGCAAACATGTTCTGTTGAATATTTGTGATGATGCAAATTCCAAAGTAACTTTTCTGGAATAGTTCCTTGCACAAGCCTCAAATTAATAAACTCCTGTCAGTTTTTCTGATTATTCCAAGATCTTTCTGGGGTATTTCTAAAAGGTACATAAAACCAGAGCCAGGTTACTGTGGCACAGAGGTGCTTGAGGAGCAAGGGTGGATTATAAGGCAAGTTCTGTTCACCACACGGAAGCTCTGGAAGGGTTTACCAGATTATGGTTGGATTGATGAACTGGATTTGAATGAGCTGTCCCAAAGGTATGGGGAAATGGAAATTGTAATCACTGGTAGCCCCTGTTAGCTATCCCAATTTTCTTGCCATTCTCTGCAGAATGCAGGGTTGGTTAGCATTTGGAAAAAGGTAAAACAGCATGTGTGTATGCTGTTTAATGGGATTAAAATGCATAGTTGTGAATTTGCTGAGGTTGAAGGGCCTTGAAACAAGTGGAATGTGGGTTCACTGCTGTTGGAGTATTGGGCAGAAGAAGCTGATGCATCTTTGTTTTAACAATTACAAAAGTCATGCACGAACTTAAGTTATTAAATACTTGCAGTTCATTCAAACAGTTGATCTCTATCATTTTTCAGTGCTTTTAAAGCTTTGACATAAAAGGGGGAGGAAAAACCTCCAAGCAATGCAGTGTTACTTTCCTCTTAGAAGGCCCCCTAAATGAGCTTGCATTACCTTAAAAATCGTAGTTTATCTGAGTTCTATTCCTGAGATCCAGGTAAAATAGTGCTTTGTGAAATTGGGTTTTTTTGTACTAATTTTGAAAGTTCTTTTAACAGGAATCTGGAAAACCTGGTGCTCATGTTACTGTGAAAAAATTATTTGTTGGTGGTATTAAAGAGGACACTGAAGAGCACCACCTTCGTGACTACTTTGAGGAGTATGGAAAAATTGACACTATTGAAATCATTACTGACAGACAGTCTGGTAAAAAGAGAGGGTTTGGATTTGTTACATTTGATGACCATGATCCTGTGGATAAAATTGTATGTAAGTAATTTCACTCCTTCTTTGGATAGTATTATTTCTTACAGCCTCAGTGTAAAGCTAAACTTACAGATAATGGGATTAGTTATGTGCCTGTATTATTTGCTACATCATAGGTTGCTGGATTGTGTGGGAACATGTATTTCAAATAAGTGCTGTCATCCTTGTTAAAAAATTGTATGGTATTTTGTGTTCTTTTATATGATTCAGAATGTGTTTGTATTAGAAGTCTGATATTCTGACTTGTTGCCAGTTAAATGCTGATAGCCTGTTATTTGATACGGTTACAGTGCAGAAGTACCACACCATCAATGGACATAACGCAGAAGTAAGGAAAGCTCTCTCTAGACAGGAAATGCAGGAGGTTCAAAATTCTAGGAGTGGGAGAGGAGGTATGTACAAGTAATGCTTAATAGTTTGTGGTTGATTTTTGTGTTCACTTTCCACAATCTCGCTACTTATAAATGTTAAACTGATACAGGAAACTTTGGTTTTGGTGATGCTCGTGGAGGTGGTGGCAACTTCGGTCCAGGACCTGGCAGCAATTTCAGAGGGGGAGCCGGTAAGACAGGCATGTTTGTTGCATTTACATTTTTTACCTTATTAATGCTGTCTTTCTGGTTTTGGAAAACTTTGTATGCTTTGGTGCTGTTTGACTTAAATGCACCTGTAGCAGTTGAGAGAATTTTTGGGAAAAGTAACTTGCAAGTGAACTTGTGTTTTGGTTTTTCTGTTTTGCTTTGGTTGTGGTTTTTTGGTTGGGTTTGGGTTTTTTTTTAGCTTTTATGGAAAGCCAAAAGTAATCTAAACATAATTATTTACTAAAAAGAGATTTCTCTGGTTCTATGCAGTGCTTGCCTGACATTTTAAAACTGGGTACCCTACAAACCCAAGAAAAGAAAAAATGTAGAGCGATGATTGGATGTTGAGCTTTATTTTTCTGAAGTTAATTGTACATGTTCTTAATTGATAATTTCTGAGATTTAGTTCTGAAGGTCATAAGAGTTTGAGAATTTGACTAGTTTGCTACAGGTAAATTGAAATCCGTTGGGGTTTTTTCTCCCAATAGATGGATATGGAAGCGGACGTGGATTTGGTGATGGATATAACGGATATGGCGGAGGACCTGGAGGTTAGTTTGCTATTGTGGTGGTGATGTATTTTTCTCTCATTAGGAAACACTTCCGTATTTATATTCATATGTATAAAATTTATCTGAATTACCTGAGCCATTTTGCTAGCTTTAAGAAATGTACATGGTTGTTGGCTTATGTCACATTTCCATATGGCAGATTGTATGGTTATTTTTTGGACAAGCATTCTTATCTTTAGGATGAGTGGGTCTTAAATTTCCTGGAAAATGAGGATTTTAATTAAACCTTTCAATTGAGATCTTTAGGCAGTCTGACTGTTGGGGTTTGGTCATAGTTCAGTTAGGGTAGGAGTTAGTATGTGCTTTAAAAAATACTGTCCTTAGAATTTTCTTTACAAAACTACCTTTTTCATTCTCTTTGTTCTTCTAAACAGAAAAATATTCTTTGTGTATAATTTGAGTGCATTTTATATTGAAAAGCTCATTTAAAAGGATTATGTTCTCACAGGTGGCAACTTTGGTGGCAGTCCTGGTTATGGAGGAGGAAGAGGAGGCTATGGTGGAGGAGGACCTGGTTATGGCAACCAGGGTGGGGGCTATGGAGGTGGTTATGACAACTATGGAGGAGGTAACGTTTAGGCTTAAATTGTTCAAGCATTTCAGTTACAAGTTACTGCAAGTCATTTGAGTTTGGGGGATGGTTGTTTGGAAATGTTGTGGAAGGAAGTTGTTGTTTTTCAAGTAGTGTGAAATAGAATGAAAACATTGTTTGGTGCATGCACTGCTGGAATACATGTGTGATTTTGTACTTTATTTAGAATTTTTATAATGGGGTGTCTTTGAGTGTTGCATCCATTTTAGCTCATGTAGGTATTTCTCCACTTTTGTGTCGATAATACAGGCAATTATGGAAGTGGAAACTATAATGATTTTGGCAACTACAACCAACAACCTTCAAATTATGGTCCGATGAAAAGTGGAAATTTTGGTGGCAGCAGGAACATGGGGGGACCATATGGTGGAGGTATTGTATATGTCCTGTGTATTTCCTTGTAGTTGGAGTGGGTGGACTTCTAGGACTTGGGGGAAATAAAAGACATGGGGTGGTAGCTGTTTTGAACTAAAAAATGGTAGACTGAGATTAGGTGTTAGGAAAAAAACTTACTGTGAGGGTGATGAGGTGCTGGAACAGGTTGCTCAGAGGTGGTGTGAGTGCCCCATTGCTGGCAGTATTCAAGGCAAGGTTAGATGGGGCTTTGAGCATCCTGGTCTAGTGACAGATAACCCTGCCCATGGCAGAGGGTTTGGAACAAGATGATCTTAAAAGGTCCCTTCCAATCCAGGTTATTCTATGTGCTTCCAAGGTGGGTATGTAGGAATTGGATAACTTCTGCAGTAGATGGACTGAAGTGCCTGTGTTCTTTCTGCAAGTTTGCTTCAGTGTCTTGATATTGTAAAGCCTGTCTCAGGGAAATTTATTTTTATTATTTTGAAACAGATAAGACATACTAACTTCTTCCACAGTGTTGTGCAATTTTGAGTTTAAAGATTCTATTTCATGTTCTTTGCTGTCAGCTCACACTATTTGTGGAGAGTCTAGTTACTTAATTTCCATCATATTTGCTGTGATTTTTATCCTCTTTTTTTCTGAGGCATCCTACTTTTTGTTGTCTAAAATGGAGTATCAGGCTTGTGAAATGGAAACTGAAACATGATGCCCTTTCTTATAAGGTTTAGCCTGCAAGCAAATTCAGCCCTCACAGTCTCAGGACAGCACAGTGCATCAAATTACATGTGGCACTGTTGAATCTTCTAAGATTTCAGCATGTAGTTGCTTCCTGTGGCAGTCTTTGGAAGTTCTTTAGAGGAAGACAATGAAATGTTAGAAGTCTGTGTTGCAAATGCTATCACTGGAAGTAAAGCAGATGTTACTCTTCATTTAGTCAAGCTTTGATTGATTGCTTCTGTGAAAAACCTTCCTAGATTTAAAAATGCACTGATGGGACCGTTCTGTTTCTTGTTCTGCAACTGCAGGAAACTATGGTCCCGGGGGCAGTGGAGGAAGTGGTGGATATGGAGGGAGGAGCCGTTACTGAGTTTCTTCAAGCATGCCATGGGTAAGTATGTTTTTAAGTGTTAAAATTGCAGTGATTCTTGAGAGTAGCTGCAGGAGTTAAAAGCTTTTTAGGATATTATCTTTCCTTTAAAAAATGGTTAGATGAATAATTTCATAACCTATTTTTTTACTCTTTACTTCTGTTGAAACAGGCTTCACTGTATAAATAGGAGAGGATGAGAGCCCAGAGGTAACAGAACAGCTTCAGGTTATCGAAATAACAATGTTAAGGAAACACTTATCTCAGTCATGCATAAATATGCAGTGATATGGCAGAAGACACCAGAGCAGATGCAGAGAGCCATTTTGTGAATGGATTTGGATTATTTAATAACATTACCTTACTGTGGAGGAAGGATTGTAAAAATGCCTTTGAGACAGTTTCTTAGCTTTTTAATTGTTGTTTCTTTCTAGTGGTCTTTGTAAGTGTAGAAGCATTCCTTTGATAATGTTAAATTTGTAAGTTTCAGGTGACATGTGAAACCTTTTTTAAGATTTTTCTCAAAGTTTTGAAAAGCTTTTAGCCAGGATCATGGTGTAATAAGACATAACGTTTTCCTTTTAAAAATTTAAGTGCGTGTGTAGAGTTAAGAAGCTGTTGTACATTTATGATTTTAATAAAATAATTCTAAAGGAAATATTGTGTAATTTTAGATTTTTTTTTAATACTGTAAAATAAGGCAAGGAGTGGGTAGTATAAGGTCCCACAAATAATACAAAGCTATTGTTGTACGTGTAAAATTTAATGCTGGTGAGAAAAAAGTATGTTGTCTGTAAATTACCAGGTTTAAAATATCTAGGTAACTTAAGGGGTATCTCTGCAAGGAGAAACACCTTTTTAGATTTTTTAGATGCTGCTTCTTCAATGGCAAGGAAAGGAAAAAACCCCAGCAAGGTACTCTTCCAGGGACGCAGGTCTAGTACAAGAGAACTCTTGAAAACGTCACTAAAAGTTCAGCCAGTCTTAAAAAGCTGTGCTGTATCTCTGCAAAGCTTTAACTACGGTAGATTGTTTATAAGGATGGCAACGAAGGCTGAGGGTGTAGAGCAAAATAGTTCTAAGCTTCAGTTAAACTTCTTTAGGTAAGATCTTGTTTACTTTTCCTTTCTTAATGTTTCAAACCCAAGAAATTAATAATGTATGACAGTATTCTTTCAGTATAGTCATTATCATTATGTAGTTTAACATATAGCAATGAATTGAGTTAACTATTACAAATTGAAAAGAAATTTGTGAATCCTGTTTTCTTGTATTATTAAATTTTTTTACAAAAATAATTGTTAATTTCAGCTACTTAACATATTTTTTTCCTACTGGAATCTAGCTATGATATGAACCCTGGACAAGCATAGACTGCTGCCACTGTACACTGCTACAGTTGAACAAATGAGACCTGCAAGTGTCCATTAGTAAAGCTTTGCAAGGGTTCCATCCCTGGTGTTGGTAGTTAAAATGGTAGGTCACAAGTTAATTAAATCATACAACTTTATTTTTGCATCCTGCAACATTTTCTTTTTTCTTGGGAGTCTATGCATTATGGTGGTTGCAAGGTAATGCAATGAAGGTAGTTCTGTGCTGTTGAAAATGAACTATGTTGTTCCGTGTCTTGTCTGCTGTAATCTATTCTATATAACACATTTCATCCCAAAGGTTCCCAAGTAACTGTAGAGTGTTTACGTGTAAAGAAAAATTTCACCACAGAATACATCTGCCTCTGTGAAGGAATGTGTCGTCCATTTTCTTAACAACTGCATAAGCAGTTCTTTAGGAGGGCAAGTGAAACCTTCAAATGAAACTGCAGGTGGTATTTCATAAGTGTACAATGTATTTGTGTAAATTGGAATTTGGCTAGAATGTTGAGGTTTCCACCATTTTTTATAGTTCTTGCAGCTAACAAACCTTAGTGCCAAATTTAGTCAGCCTTACTCTCACTGCATTGAATGTTTGCACCTCAAATTGATGGAAATTTATCAAGTATTGAATGAGTTACTCAGAGTAAGGGTGGCATACTCTACTAGATTTGGTTTTAAATAAAAATCAACAAAACCTGTCAAAAAAAAAAGGCAACCAAAAATGCCTTAATTTCAAAGTTCATTGCCTTTAAAAGGCTACCCATTGAAGAACGTGGACTCAGCTAACAAAAGTCCTGTTCCTTTTGTGTTAGACACACCAGTGAACTGCTTATACTTTTTTTTTAAAAAATGGCTGAAGTTCCCCTATTGGTAATTTGGTTTAGACATATGTGATAAACATCTTCAGATACACTTTTTTTTTCTTTGGCAGGAAGGTGCCATGCTGCAGGTAACTAATGAAGAAGTGGTCAACCACAGAAACGCTTCAAGAAATAAGAAATTCTGTATCATCAGAAAATAGTTGTTTTTGCTGCCTTCATTAAAAATCTAGAGGTTAAATGAGTACTGATAAAACATCACAATTAGTACAGATCCCTGTAATGATGGGTTTTTTAAATTATAGTAATAATGTCTTGTAAACCTTTCGAATAAAATTCAGATTCGTTAGGAGAAACAAATCACTAATGTTAAAATAGCAAACATTCTGTGAGTAGAAAGTTTAACTACATATATTTATAACTTTCATAGCTTTAAAATAAAGTATTTTTATACCAAAGTAGTTCTAGTGTAATGCTTAATAAAAACTTAGTGTGTATCTAACATTAAATAATGTTTATGTTTAGACCCTTCCATGATTTGAAACATTCCACTTTGAGGTGAATTTAAAACAGAATCAGTTTGACAAGTGTGTTCATGGAACTTGTTTCTCTGACCATGGGCATCTGTTCTCTCTTGGGAGAAACAGCGCTGCAAATTTAAAAGTGCTGATGTCTTTGCTGTTGGACACAAGTGCTTAAAAGTAGCTTTATTTGGCTGTGTTTTTTATTACCTCATACTTTACTGTTAATGAAACTACCACCAAAGCCAGTTTGTCAGATTTCAATAGGACAAGAGCTTTATCCTTTTCACTTTTAAAGTGCTTTTAGCATGAAGACAGACAGACTGACTGGAATGTAGAATTCCTGCTGTACAAAACTTACTACCCATAGCTGCATCTGGGGGCAGAAGGAAAATACCAAAACAAAAAAATGCCAAACCAAATAAAACAATCACCAAGTGTGAACTTGGGAAAGCTTGCTTGGGAGTGTATTTAAGGGAAGATATCTTGAGGTTATACTGTTTTAACCACTTATCTTCATGCATGGTTTATTCAAAAGTTGAAATTTATATGCTTTGGCAGAATCATGTTTTTAACCTTTATTAATACTGTTGAAGGATTCACGTACAATTTTCTTCTGTTTCTTAAGTTGAACTTTGAAATACTTGAATAGGTAACCGGTGGGCTCTAACGGAAGCAGTAAATGAAGACGCACAAATCTGCTTTACTTTCTTCTTTCCAACAGAATGACCAGATCATAAGGAATTTGCCTTCTTTCCTATAACTTAGATGTAGTTGATGGAAGTTTTTTCTTTACAGTTGCCAAGTCCACATTCATACACCATTTAAGAAAACTAACCAAACCACTTCAAAGGACAGTAATTTTTCTGTTTAAAATACTATTTCAGTAGTGTAGCAACGAGATTTAAAATTTACTTGCATTGAGTATGTTTTCCATAAGGAGGATGTTCTCATTTTGGTCTGATGGCAGTGGGCGAAGGGAGCGTATAGGGGAGACAGCACTGCAAGAATGAAATTACTGGATATTTCAAGTCTTGAAAACCTGGTGTCTTTAAGTTTGCTGATGTCCTGCTTTTGAATTTTCATGGCTTTTCTCTTGGTACGGCCTTAAAAGTTAAGGCTTGTGACAGTCAACAATGGTCAGCAACAAATGTGGTGAGACAAGTCACGGTTTTGAGTCAACCTGATACTGGAGGTTAGCAACTTCAAATAAAAGCAGTATTGTGTGGTCAAGTACTGGTCATCAATTTGTAGACAATGGATTCTTACTTTCTATCAAGTGGGATTTCATCACTACAGACTTAGTCTTCCAAGTAAGTGTAATGTTGCAGTGTTTCCAGGTACTAACAGCTGAGGATCAGGTTGTCAGTACTAGGTCCAGCTTTCCCCCAGCGAACACTTCATGCAGCAAACTAAAGGAAGAAAGAAAAACAACGTAGCTTGTGCTGACTGGTATGTGAGCCAAAGAATACCCAAAAATCGAGTATGACTTGTATTTATAAAGTGATGGTGAAAGGAGGTCGGTAGTAGGGTTCTGGCCACTCAGACTTCGTGTTACATACAATGATAGTTGAATTTTTTTCATTTCTGTTGTGCTGCAGATGCTAAAAAACACTCAAGAAAATGCAAACAGTTGTTGTTAATGCTGTAAAATGAACAGGGCTTGAAATTTGTTATGTGTAGGAAAGACTGTTCTTTTAGTTTGATGATTAATGTACATGATCTCTTTGTGATGAAATCATAACGCTTCTGGGGAAGAAAACCCAAGCCCCAGAAATGGATCTGAATTTTCAAACAGTTGTCAGCTGAGTTTGTTTTGGCAGCTTTGCCTCATTGGTAGAGGATAATTTGCTGGGAACATACTGGGGCTGTGCATTCCCTGTAGGTTTAGTATTCCTTTTGGTTTTTGAAGTAGTGTGTGATGCAAGTCAGCGCTACCATAGTAGTGCTGTTGCTTTTCCACCTAAGGGAGATGGCTGTTTCTCTTCATGTTTATTCAGCCATACCATTCAGTGTGTCAAGGATAGGAGTGTTACATGGAAGGGTTTGCCTGGGTAATAATCCATTTTGGCAAAAGTACTGTCCCTTTTAACAGTCATGTTTTTGCTTTGCAGCTACTTTTGGTTTGTGTTGCACAGAAATTTTGTCAGGAGTTACTCCAGTTATGGAGCAAGAACTGGTTTGTTCATCAGCAGTAAAACTGTATAAATAATACCTTTGTGACTTGCCTGACAGAGTGCTATGAACATTAGGTCAACAGTGTTCAGGCACCTTGTGAGACCTTGAGACCTCCCATGCTGCTTCACTGTACAAAAAAGGGTGTCTGGGGGAACATCCTAGAAAATTGCTGTTACCAGCACTCTTCCCTCCCCCCTTTTTATGTTCATTTGGAGATACTGTATGAAAATGGGTGGCTGGTAGACTTCATGGAGTTGTAGTAGCTGTGCAGCAGGTGTCAAGTAGCAGTACTTCATGAGAGATACACACTACAGTACTACGACTTCACGTGGTTACATCTGCCATCTCTATTTGGTTTACTTAATAAACAGTTTCTCACTACACCCTGGTGTTGAGTGTCCTGTTGCCTTATTTATAGGTCTCTGCCACCTCTGTCCTCAAGATTCTTGTTAGATGACTCCCAGAGATGAACTAATGTGTGTGTTTTGAGACAAAGATTGTCAAGTTGATACTCATGAAGTGCTCTGTCGGTTCTTTTCCTCACTGAAGTTTGTTCTGGTTCCCCCATCTAAAACTAGATTGTAAGCTCTTGAGCAGGAACACCTTAAGCTTGTAAAATTCGGCACTGTAAAAAGCCACAGCCATTGAATAAAACCTAAACTATGAATTCAAAGCTGCACTTCAGTGCAGTACTGCAGTAGTCATTTAAAGTGCGTGCAGTGTTTCAGCTGTGTTCTGGGACCACTTGTTCACAGGATGCCTCTATGGGAGTGTCCAGCCTTACAGCTCAAATAGCATCCACTGGGGTTGCAGTTGGATGGAGTACTCAGCTTGCCTTGGCTGCTGGTGCATGTTTCTCCAGAACAGGAGTCAATCTTGGAGCAGCCAGCAGGTAATGCTTTGTAGTACATGTTGCTGCCATCAATAATGGGTATACGGTCCACATAGTGTTTTACTTAATCTGACCTTTCCTAACCTCTTGCAGATAAGCTCTTACTAACATAACGAAAATGCAGTTTAGCACTGAAGTGCTACAGACTAAGGTAGGATGCAGCTGTAATATCTTTGTGCCATCTGGCTGCAGAGTAGGTTTGATACCATACTGTGTCTTTCCATGCAATAAAGCTCCTGGTTTGTACACTTGGGATCTTGATTTTGTGAAAATCTTGATCTGTCCATAATAAAGACAAGATGGATTTCAGTCAGGTGTTACCACATTTTACAACCCTTTCAGTAACAACTTTGATTTGTCCTGTTTACCTGAAAAGTTCAATTCTGTAGTGTCTCTATTTTGGTATAGAGGTTGCAAATATGGTCTAAGGCCAGTACATAAAGTGCATTAAAAGCTTCAGCTGGCTAGCCTAAGCACACATCATTTAAGGAACTATAAAGCATAGCCAAGACCAGGCCATGTTTGGGAATTTTTATTTGGTATGGATTTTGTGTGTGTGTGTCTGTTTAAACACAGGCTAGTTGCAGAAAGGGAAGAAGACAGTTCAAATGAGTGTCTGCTCCAATTAAAAACAGGACATCAGTCTGAATTCCACCTATTGTTTTGTCCTGTGGGCAGGTAGCTGATGGTTAAAAAAAATACACATCCAGACATAAAGTTCATTGTATCATCAGTACTGTTGCAGTCTGCCCAAAATCAGTATTTCAGCTCAGTTTTTTGTAGTAGAGTTTCTTGTTTGGTTCTGAGGAACTGAGGGTCTTCCATTATTATTGTGTTCTGAAAGGGTTACAGGTATGCTTTACTTTTGGCATGTACTAAAATGTAAATGTGTAGCTGTTTCCCAATTGGGTATATGCAATACTCCATTAGCAGCTGGCCTTACAAAAATCTACAGAGCTCACCTGCCACTGCTATTGAAGGAGTGGGCACCAAAAAGTTCAGGCTTTTTTTTTTCTTCCCTGTGTGAGGCCCTAAAGCAGAAATTCTGGATTTCTCAGTTGTGAGCCTAATGTAGTAGCTATTAGAATTTGTGCATGTAGGCAGTGAAGTAGGTTTAAAGACTTTGTCCTGCAAAGAGTAAGTGCGTGGATTTTAAAATGTTTACGTCATTTAATTGATTATGATCATGCTGACTTGAATATGCACTTCTTTTTTCCCCTACAACTAAAGTTAACAATTCATCATATGTATCTGATACATACTGCATGTTTTGGGTGGAGTTTGTGATCTAGCCAGTAGACAAATCCCATGTGAACACTGATGCTTAACCAATAGCAAAAAATAGCATACCCTCAGTAATAAGACCTTCTGCTATGAATTTACACTTAGCAATTTCAGACTGTGGTGAAATCAATAAAGAACACATGCACACATTTATTTAAAGAAATCTTTTAATAGAAAATGCTGAGAAAATTGTTCAGTCTGATTTCATTATTGATAATTCAGTGTACTTGGCACTATCTTAGGGCTCCCTTTTTAGAAAATATCACTTGATAGTATCAGTTTTGTTACAGATAAGTGCAAGTAGCCAACGTGACTTCCATGGTAGTGGCAGCTTGTTTCTTCAGCAGGTATAAATTTGGCATTTAAGCTTGTATGTGGAGTTCTTACATGGTTGGTACAAGAGATTTTTTTATTGTACCTGAATGTAAGTTTGCTCCATTGTCATCATGCCATGACCAATGAGAACTTTTTAAATACCTGTTATAATTATGTGTTTTAGTTATAAAATTAACAAGAAGTATTTGTTATCTAGAAATCAATATTAGTAGTTACTTTCATAATAATATACCTCAACATTCTTTCCTTATCATTCATTACAGGCCTTTTAGGCCATCGCTCTTGCAGACCTTTTTCAGGCTGTAAAACAGTAAAGGATAGGATGTTGTAAGTATGTAAGTGAATAAAACTTCTCCTTTCTAATAGCACAAATAAATGTCAAACCAAAAAACTTTTCATTTGGAGTACTATCAGAGTGTAACCTCAAAATTACAAGTATAGATAAACAGTAATTTGGTTCAACTTAATTTAAAGACTAAGTAAAATGTATATTTAAAAAATTAAATCTGGGACATTAAAAACACTTAAAAATACCAGTTAAAAAAGCCACAGAGAAAAACTCAAGTACTTCTTGAGGAAGGTGTCAAAATGGGAGGAAAACAGAAGGTACACAAATAAATATCACAGTCATTAGGAAACAGAACAGAAACTCCTTCACCATTGGTCATTTTTGTAGAAGAAAGTTGAGAATGATTTATTTGCAGAGGATGAAGGTAAGAAAATATTGAATCAGACACTATTTTTCAGCATGTTTGCAGGTTGAGTGTATAAGTTGTAAAATTAAGTGGCAGGCTATCTTTGCTTGGAGTTATGATGCTGAAAGTAGTGAGGAAAAATGCAGTAGCCTCCTGGGCTGCTCTCCTCAAAGGAAAACCAGGAAAAGCAGAACTGTTCTGAATAAATGCAAAGCATGCACTTATCTCTTGAGCCTATGTAAATCCACAGTGAGTTTAAGTTGAAGATGCACTAGAACTATAATTTTTCTTTCAGTGCTAGAGAATAAAATAAGATCATTTCTGTATAAAGAGTCAAGTATTCAAGACTAAAACATTTTCCTTCATGTGTAACATTGATCGAAAGTTGACTTTATCTCTCACAGGTGTTCTCCCCTCTGCTCCCCATTACCAGTAACCAAATTCCCAGTTTTAACATAGGTCTATAAAGCTACACTACACTGATAGTCTAGCTCCTTTGATTCTAACTAAAACTAAACAGATTTCCTCATTTGGAAGCCTCAGCTCACGGACCTTCTAACAAATCACAGCTGGCTGTGTTTTCCAGACTCTTCAACATAGAGTGTTTCTCCTCAAGTGTAGGTTCTGTTTGAACTGCTGTAATCACTGACCTTTAGTTGTCACACAAGTACTCTTACCATCCTTTCAGGCAAAATAAAGGTGATTTAGGTCATCTCCAGTCATCTTACTTTTGTTTCTGCTCTTTTCTGTTATCTTGTTTCTGTTCAGATTTGGCCAAGTGCTTGGGTATTATGAAAACACTACCATTGCTATTGCAGTGAATGACATACTGGCATGGGTTAACAGGTCTACCCTGGTCATCCCTCAGTCTACTGAAAATGTCATGGTACAAGTTGTTTAATTTTTGCTTTATCTGGTTGATTAATTTGCTACACTGGGAGTGCTCCTTTTTAAGGCTCTCCTTTTGTGTTTGGAGATTACACACATCTTCTTCCAAGTTAAGAATTGCATTCAGTTTGCGTTTACGACATTTTTGGGCAGCTACCTTGTTTTTTCCTCTTCGCCTGATGTCACGTAGAAGTGATACCTGAGTTTCTGTCAGCTGGTTCTTTGCTAGCATGGTGTTGAAAGAGTCAACGGACATGCTCACAATTTCCTCCACTGAAAATGGTATTCTCAGAGCTTTTGCACGCCACTCATCTCTGCTCCGGTTTGTAGCAGTAGAATTATGGCACCTCTCCTTCACTTCGTTTGATTTCTTCATCCACATCTGTTGATAAGGCTCTGGAGTGGATGCTGCTTGACTTGGCAGCTGATTGTAAGTGTGATTATGAAGAAACTGCTGAAGCATGGCTTCTGTAGAACACTCTGCAACACCTGGATATTCCACATGGCTGTGCTTAATGTTTTCTTGGCAGTGGACACCAACAGCTCCTAAGCCGTGCGAAGGAGCAGATTTAACACCGCTGCTGTACCCAACAGAACCTTCACAGCAGACTGAATAAGAGGTGGTGCTGTGATTTGAATTCAAAGGTAGTCCTGAATCTGAGCCAGGCTCTTCAAAGATCTGAGAAACTTCTATAGGACTAAAGCCTTCCTCCAAAGCCAAAGACATGAGCTTAATTTCATCAAAATTATCATCATGGGCTGTTAGATTTCTAAGATCAGCAGCCGAAAACAGCCCTGTCAAATTTGACCCATGAAATTGTGATTCTGGGTTTGTGATATCAGTGCTTGATTGAGGGAAGAACTCTTGCCTTTGTAAGTGTCTTGGTTTTGAATTTAATTGAGTGGGGTAGTCTGTTCTTAGTAGTATGGCATCAGGAGGACTGAAACTGTTGTGAAGTGTCTGGGTCAGGTTTATATTGTGGTGTGAGGATGATGGGTCTTGGCCTCTACTAGAAGTAGCAACTTGTGTATCTTCCAGTAAGTTCACCTAAAAGATGAAGGGGAAAAAATTGAGATCTTTCATAAAATGAATGCTCTACATCCCTTGCCTAAACAGTCACAAACATTTCTTAACATTCCACTACTTTATTCTATTAAAACCAAATTTTTGTATGTTAAACTCTTCTTCTAGCTATTTGGAATGATGTTTCCCATCTGTATAAAGCATAATCTGTATTGGCATATGGCAAAAGGAAGAAGGAAGAGTGAGTGCAGAAGTGATTGAAGGAACGGGAGAAGGACTTGCAAAGGACAGTGTGGGACCAATTAGGGTTGAGAGGGAAAAACGGGACTATTGCCAAGTGTACAAACTGTGGCCTATGTGAACTGTGGCCTATGTGTTCTGTCTGATCTGATCTAAGAAAAATGTCCTGCTGGGAGGAGTGGTCATGACCCTTCCCTGGCAGTGGTACTGATGATTCAAGGGTGAGCTGGTTCAAGGTGCTACACTGTTAAAAACCAAACTTTTTTAAGAAGATAAATAGCTCATCTGCAGAAGTTAACCAGTAAGGACAGCAGTGAAGAAAAGAGTGGAAGACAGGAATATTAAGACTGTGCTTTTGCAGTCTCACTACTTATTTCACAGTTCATGAAGCTTTCAGGCCTGTGAGGTGCCACATTTGGTTTAGTTCCATTTAACTGAAGTCTATTGCATCCAAAATTCAGCTGAACTGTTTTACTGATCAGTTTGGAGGTAACATCCCCCCCACCAAGTCACGCCTTTTGTGGATGTCTTGACTTTAAATTACTACTCAGGGTTTTTCTACAAAACCAAAGCTGATTTATGATCCCTCAGCCCTGATGTTCAAACAATGAACTGGACTGGTAATGCTGTAGTAGCACTAAGGCCCATCTTTTGAGGACCTGAGTTAGAGTTGCTGGGTCTCAGGAGCACAAAGGCAGAGGAGTCATGAACTACATTGATACAAAGTACTTGAGAATGTAAATACATCAAGTAGGAAGTGTATAGGATTCCTCCATAGTTGAGTGTCCTTACTGTGATTCAGGAAAGAACTTTCTGATTGCCATTCAGTGAACAAGTAAAAAGCACTTTCCACAGGGAAAGAATGATGTATTATCATAAGGACCAGAACATCTTAGGTTCCCTATTATGCTTACTGGGAGCTCAGGTAACAAGAAGCTGGTCTTGCCTTATTTCTCCTAGGGAGTTACCTTGTACCAGACCACCCGCAGTCTGTGGGATAGAGATGCTATTTTCAACTAATCCTTTGAAAAGAATGATTCTTAGAAAGTCAGCTATCAAAAAATTCCACTCACTGTAAAGACTTGATACTTAGCAGAAACAATCAATCCAAATTCAACAGATAGATTGTCACAAGATGGCAGTGCATTAATGATGTTAAATAAAATATGCAACGTGGTACTGTGTATTGTAATAGCTGTATAAAGGCTACAGACAAATTCCTTTCAAATTCTGAGAACAGAGAAAACTAAACTGATGAACTTCTATGTCTCATTAGTGTGCAATCCATTTCCAGAGCTGAACAGAAGAGGAGGCTAATTTATGGGCTAGAAGGTACTATCCAAGCTAGAGATTCCCAAAACGAGACAAGCATGGAGTTATATGGAAAACACTAATGACCCCGGAAGAGGATCCTATGATGGGAAGTGTATATAAGATGCCCTTGATGTATTGCAAAAGAGGAATGTAGGGAGTAGCTTTATGGTCAATAATTGTAGCTATGAGCTGCGGGAGGAGGGGGAGACTTCAGTTAAGATAACAACTGTTTTTTGTGAAGATGGGCACACAGAAAGTAAAATATAGTATCAGAAGGCCACAAGATTTAAAAATACAAAAAAACCCAAAACACTAAATGAGTTTACTGCTAATGCTGACAGATTTGATTTGCAGTGAAGATGATCTGTTGTTCTTGAGAGTAGCAACCCTGTAAGCACTTGACCCAATATTTATGACAAATGTAATCTTTCACCACAAATACAATAAATAAATGTGTAATAAATGTAATAAATCAGTGTTGCTCTAGAGAAACACAGCAAGAGCTGCTGCATAAATACAAACTGGTATTAGGGCTTTAGAAAGGCAACTATTAGTTGAACTAACTGAGTTGTCCAGTGGCTCCATCCAACTTTGAACACCAGATCACAGTAAAGACACAGCTCTTACACCAGAAAAGTTGCTGGGGAAAATTTTTCAAGTAAAGCCAATGAGAGCTGCCGTAAAAGGTGGATAGCAGCATCTTTAGCAGTTTCAGGTAAGTTTTACTACATTGATTTGCCAATAAATTCCCAGAGTGGGTAGGGTAGGCTGTGGTGGTTTTATTTGATAAAACAGAGTAATTGCTGACTGTATTGGCAATACCTGTATTTTCTCATTTACCTCTAGCATGTTTTCCACCTGTGATGACAGAAGCTGTAAATAGCCCTCTAAGGAGAGAATGGAATCTGCATGGTTGCTGTTGCTCTGTGACAAAAAGAGAAACATGGTGTAAGGCACAGTTATTTCACCTAAAAGGAGGTAAAAATCAAAGTCTGACAGGAAACAGCACCATGCCACACTGCTGCTGACCCCACCATCAAGTCTTCATCCTGATGGGAGATGACATGTTGCTAGAACGAGCAGATCAGCTCCATGGCCTGAGCATGCCTACTCTGCCCACAACAGCAGACCTGGGCTCTCCTCTGAAGCTGTACCTCCCCCCACCAGTGTGGAAAAATCAGGTATTTTTTCAAAGCCAAGCCCTCAGGGGAGTGGCAAACAGAGAGGCTGGCAAGACACCTGGATCAGACATTCTCAGCTCTCACAAGGTCTCAAGAAAATGGAGTGCTCTTTTCATTGCAGCTTAGAGAGAGCAGAACTGAAGAGTTCAGTGCCCCAAATGTAATTCTACATCTGAGCATCAAGCTTTATATAAATTGTGAGAGCAGTATAATTTAGCATCCACGTCGCTAGTGTTTGTAGGCAAAAACATCCTTGCCCACTAGCACAACACCTTCATACTGGAGAAAATAAACCCAAATTAAAAAATAATTAGTTGCAAGTGTTTTCTGTAAACCTCTGAATATTTCAACTACTCAAAAAATAGTGGGGGATTGAGGGAAGGAGGCAATTTTCAAAAAGGTGTACAAGGGCATCATTCACAAAGCACTGTCTGAAGTGAGCATTTCTTTCCTGCCCTGGCAAGGAACATTTCAAACAAAAAGAGGAAATAAATTATTCCTTTCAAAAGTTTTCACTACTATTTATCTTAGTGATAAGTTCTGTATCCTCCCTCACTTCTTCAGTTTTCTCTTCTTCCCTTTTTTTATCACTTACTTGACTTTTGTCTTTCTCCTCTTGTTCTTGCAGTTCCAGCTGATCCTCTCCTGGAGGTGGACAGCAGTCATCCAAAGCTCCCTGACATGCTTTCAGGTCAACATCCTGAAGACACAAATAAAACAGTTCTATTACACAGCATGCTCTCAAAATTCATCTTTAAAAGGCACTTTTTTCTCCTCCAGTGATAGCATTCCAAATAAAATATGCACTGAACAGGTCATGGGGATGAAGTGTGTGTGTAGACTTTGGGGACAAAATAAGACTGGTGTCAGTTCAGAGGGGCAGCCACCAGCTCTTGGCAGGCACTGAACCCATCTGCAGTAGAAATGGACATCGGAAACAAATTCCTCTAAACCAGACAAAGAACCACGATGTAATTTCATGAAAATTTTGGACTGATTATGAGTGACATTTGGAGGTCATTTCACAACAACATATCCAAGCCAGATAGAAACTCAATGATGGAATCATAAAGCAGGAATTATACATAACAAGTTAGCAAAATCCCTTCCTTACCTGTATTGTAACAGCAACTCTGCTTCCCATCACTTCCATGTAAACATTACCCATTTTCATTTATCCAAGTGATGGAGTTTTTCAATCTCCAGTGATGAGATTGTTCAAATTTAGGGGCCTCAGAAGCAATTTTCAAGTTTTATTTTATTTATATTCGTATCATCAGACTTCTTCATTGTTTATTATATGGGGCTGGAGTTTTGCTAGAGTAAGAAGGAATCAGTGCTGATTCCTATTTTTAAAAAACATGTGTTTGTATTTAAAAATATTTTCATATTTCAGCTTTTGCAGGGCAAGTCTGTATTATTAAAATGTGAAACTCAGAGGAGTGGCAGCCAGGAAACCAAGTGGCCACACTGCATTAGTTCCAGGTATTCCCAGAAAAATGCTGTGGCAGGAGCAGAAAAGACAAGTCTTCAACAGCAGCAAAGATAATGAGATAGTGTTCAGTTCTAAAAATCTCAGCAAACAATTTACAGGTCTGTTATGAAAGCATAAACTACATAAAATCTGCAGTTTTAACAGTCATCAAAACATATAAAAGTTTTTAAATTGTTCCTTCATACAAAACACATTAAAAAGTAAATATAAAAATTTCAAAAATAGGACTCTGGAGAAAAATATAACTTTACAACAAATTAACATTATTTTCTTTTTTTTACCTTCTATTTAAATATTAAAATATGAAAATTAATTTCATTTTAAACTAATTTTGTTTGTGGGCTTTCAATTTTTCTGTGCTTTCTTTTCAAGACTGGAAGAGAACTTCAGCTTTATAAACAGCCATTTGTAAAAACAAATAGATCTACAGGGCACTCATCTGTCATTCTGATGTAGGAATGAAGAGTTTCCTTCAGTAATGCCCAACACAGTTTCTACTCATTAGAAATTATATTCCAATACATTATGTCTTCTTTGTCAGCTGCATCTGGAAACGACCAGATGATTTTTTTTATTGCCAAATACGAGAAAACAAATTTGCTTGCCTAAAACCAGACATACACACATACAGAACAACAATAACAAGAAAACAAACCTCCTAACTAACAGTTTTCTCTATGCAGTTAAACAGGAGAGGGCATTTACTACACAAGACACTGAGAACATGGCAAGTAGCTACTTGCAAACACTTTAAATGAATCCAATGGAGCAGATCACAGGCATGAAATTAGTCCCATGCTTATGTGCTTGCGAGATCAGGGCTAGGCTTTAATTTTACAGAGAACAAACCTAATACTTGTCAAATTCATGTGACCTGTTAATATTCTAATTAATAAAATTCACGATCATCAAAAGTAAGTAAGAAGTCAAGGACAACCGCTAATAAAGGCCTTAAGCAGCTCCTCTGGAGCCAAGTGGCCTGGAAAGCTGCTGCTGTGGCAGAGCATTCAGCTCCTGCATAACACAGCAAATCCATTACTCTACTGGCTGCAGAAGAGGCAAATGCAGGAAATAATTATAAACGTGGTATCTATAATGTGATGCCTCTAAAAACAAACTGCAAGCACTAGGTTTGTATACAGAAGGTATAGGAGTCACAAACTTATAAAATTTGTCACTCCTTTTAAAATTTCAAGGGGTTTAAACCTATTCCTCTACCAGGGAAAAGAAAAGCTTGGGGAAGCTTTGGGAAGAGCCCATGGTGTGTCCTACAGATCATTCAAAATCCTCACAGTTCAACTTTCTTACAGTGGAGATCTGACTGCAGATGATGCTGGTCTGCTGAAGTCTACTGTCACAGACACCTTTTATGAAAAATCCTTTCCTTAGGATTTTTCCTCCAGAGAAGCTGAGAGGCCTCAGGAACAAAATGTAAACAATGGTTATCTGCTGCTACGGAATGCAACAGGTGGATCTGTGATTGGCCCATGTTGGTTGTTTCTTATTAATGGCCAATCACAGTCAGCTGGCTTGGACTTTCTGTCCCAGCCACAGGCCTTTGTTATCATTCTTTTTCTATTCTTAGCTAGCCTTCTGATGAAATCCTTTCTTCTATTCTTTTAGTATAGTTTTAATATAATATATATCATAAAATAATAAATCAAGCCTTCTGAAACATGGAGTCAAATCCTTGTCTCTTCCCTCATCCTAAGGCCCCTGTGAACACTGTCACAGTCTACAATGGAGATGGTCCTTCCCCAAACCACTGTGAGGACAATTAAATTTCTGATGTACCTGATAGGACATCTCCTTTCTGAAGGGAAAATAAATGCTCCTGAAGCTCACAGAAATTTATGAAAACTGTCTTGTATTAATTTCTCCAAGATGTCAAAGATAACTGAATCTTCAGGTCTTTTCTTATCAGTACATAAACCTCTTGGCTGCTAAGGAAATGGAGAATATTTCCAACTACAAATTATGGAATTTGTCTGGAGTCTACATTCATTTTTATGTTCTCTTTTAGGAAAAAATATGTATCTATTTTCTCTACTCAGCCACAGATGGTGTCATGGTACCCATAGTTTCCAGGCTGAGAGCCACCAACTGCACTACAGGATCACAAACCATTTTGTCTGAAGGACTCTTGACCTTAAGCACAGAATGGAGGTCAGAATCTCCCTCTGATCTTTGCACAGAGCTCCTGCTGATGTGAATGGAGCAGAGGTGCCAGTGGGGAAGGGAGGGAAGCAGGGTCTCACACTTGCAGTCATGCCCATTCCCTGTGGCTTGCCGAAGGGAATGTGTCGTCTCTTCTGAGCGAGCTTCACAGTGTGCCTCTGAAGATTAGTCTTACTAACACCATTTCTTCCTCCAGCAGATGATCTTAAAATAGATACCATGGCTGTTCACAGTGATTATTACTACAATAAGTTCTCCATCCTTTGAAAAAACCTGTTTTTAGCACTACCAGAGCACTTGCTGAAGGATCCTGGCCCTGCAGCCAGGTTTTCACAACAATGGTGGCATAGATACAGCACACGTAAGGTATTTCACATAACGAATTTTCACCTAGGGGATCATTTCAGCAAAATCCTCTATACACCAATCAACCAGAACCTTTTTGCCTTTGTTTCTCTGTTTTGGCTTTTCAAAAAAATCCCCTGGATTATGCTGTTTTTTGCATAAACCAGGTATCCCCTGGTGTTTGCTTTTTATTACACTTTGCACCAGCTTGTCTTCCTCAGTGATGAAGAATGACCGAACAGCACAGCTCAACAACAGAATGCTTCCTTCCATGCCTGTTGTATCACTTGGGACTGACTGCAGGACTGTGGAGAGAATAGGAGGGGTCTCTCCCCAAGAAACAGCCACACTATGTTTTTGAATAAGGCATTTCATTAAAGATACCTTAATTCCACAGACTGGATGTACACCTATTGACAAAAGTTTTATTACAGAGGATATTAATCTAATAACAAGAAGGATTAGGTATAGATCCTATTTATTCAGCACTGTGCTGCCACATTCAGTGTTTCTGTCCTTCCCATCCTTATTTTGCAACAAGGGTAAGAGAAGAAACAGTAATAGAACTACAGCAATACCACTGAGCCCAGGAATTTGGGAAAGCACATGGCTATCTCTGTATAGAGAAAAAGACTTAAAATTTGCTGATTGTAGAAGACTTAATAATACCACCAAACCCATCGACTGCAGGAGCCTTTCCCTTTCTACCACTGGAGGGTGTGGAAGTTCCTGCCTCCAAGAGTAGGCTGTTTCCAAATGGTAAACTGAAACCCTACCTGAGGGCAACCTTTGATGCGCATTTGGAAGGACTTCTGTGCAAGCACAAAACCAGAGAGCTACACTAAAATTCTCATCATAAAATAATAATAAAAAAATAAAATCCCAACTATCTGAAATTTCCATCTTGCTTCTGCCACTTACTGTTTTCAGTTGCATTAAAGAACACAGTCTGAGACTGAACATGATTTACCGAATTATCCACCAGCCTTGTATGTGGGGGGCTGGGCTCTAACCGTGCACCTGCCTTTTCCCTAAGGTACAGCTCACCACAGGTCAGCTACAGGCTTCAGTTTGTCAGTCTTTGGAATATGAAAAATAGTAGTTTCTGTCAAATCTGCTACTTAAGGAGGGCCAAGAATCAATGTGGAAGGGAGAGAAAGTATGGTTTTGTGGGTGGCCTGGCCTACGCTTAATTGGAAGCATGCTGCCTGCTCCGGCAGGTTTCCAGAGTTTCTTACTCTGTGTTAAAAATAGAGCTTTAAGTTTCCAATTGAGTAAATCACAGTATTGATCTCAGCATCAGCTGGGTGTACTGTACATCAAACTTTCCTCCACATATCTCCTCCCCTTGCTTCCTTCCTACACCCATGTCTTATCTGCTGTCCTTAAAAAAATGTACAGGCAGCAGAACCTGTAATGACACCAAAATACAAAAAGGTCTACTGTGGTGTATTGGATGGGTGAAGAAGATCCCTCTGGAGGAGCAGCAGAAAGCATAATAAATCTCTTTTCAGCTATTGGTCTGTGTGCAGGTGGCACATAGGACTAGAACTACACAACCCAGGGCTACAAGTGCACAGAAATACTTGAACTAGCTCTGGAGTAACAGAAAGGGCTTGCTGGAAGAGAGCAGAGCAGACAGAGTGGTTTGCCTGGGCACACAGAAAGTGCTGAGAGGCAGGGGGTACCTGCCCCTGCAAAGCTGTTTCACTGCACTCAGACTCAGAGTTATCACTACAAACACCCCAGTGCTGGAGCAAAGGTACACAACCACAATTACTTGCAAAATAACATTTTT